TAAAGGAAGGTGAAGAAAATCATGCAACCATTCTGATTGGGTCCACTACAAATTTATGTTACATCACCTCAACTGGGCCCTCACTGCTGCTAGGCAATCCTGTTATGCCTCACTTATCAATTCACTAGCCTGCTCTCCAGAGTGGCTCTTCCAAACCTCACCCCTCCTCAAACCTCCCATATCTCCTGTGCCAAACCACTCTGTCAGCTGAGAACCTGGACTTATACTTCACAGAAAAAAAATCAGGCCATTTGCCATGAGCTTCTTCTCCCCACTCTTCTTCATCTCTTATCACTCAGGTGCCTTCTGCTCCTCTCTCTTCCTTTACCCCTGTCTCACATGAAGAAGTGGCTTTACTCCTTACCAAGGCCAACCTTTCTACTTGTTCAAGTGATCTCATTCCATCCCTTCTTCTCCAACACATTGCCTCCTCTGAAATCCTCACTCTTTCACCTTACTTTCTTTTCTTTTTTTTTCCTTTTTTGCTGAGGCAATCAGAGTTAAGTGACTTGCCCAGGGTCATACAACTAGTAAGTGTCAGGAGTCTAAAGCCAGATTTGAACTCAGGTCCTCTTGACTCCAAGGCCATAGCTCTATCCACTTTACCACCGAGCTGCCCCTTCTTTCACCTTATTTTCCATCTCTCCCTCTCTACTGGCTAATTTCCTACTACCTACAAAAAGGTACATGTCTGTCCCCCACCCTCAAAAAGATCCTCAGTTGAGCCTTCTATCCCTGCTAACTGTTGTCCTATTTCTCTTCTGCCCCTTGTGGCTAAACTCCTCAAAAAGAGCACCTGCACTCAGTGCCTCCACTTTCGATCTGCCCCCCTCCTCTATCCCTATTCACTTCATCATTCCACCAAAAATTCTCTTTCCAAGATTACTAGTGATCTCCTAGTTGCCAAATCCAGCGACTTTTTGTCTCTCCTCATTCTCCTTTATCATTCTGCAGCCTTTAACACTGTCGGTCACTCTCTCCTCCTTGACGATATCTTCTCTCTAGGTTTTCAGGACACTCCTCTTTCCTGGTTCTCCTCCTCCCTCTCTGACCATTCCTTCACTATCCACTTTGCTGGCTCTTCATCCAGATCCCACCTTATAACTCTTGGTGCCCCTCAGGATTCTGTTCTAGGTTCTTTTCTCTTCACTTTCCTTACTGCTTCACTTGGGGATCTCATCAACTCCCATGGATTTAATTATTGTCCCTATGCTAATGATTCTCATATCTGTCTATCCTTCCCCAACCTCTCTGCTGATCTCCAGTCTCAGATCCCGAACTGGATGTCCAGTAGTCATCTTAAACTCATTATGTCCAAAACAGCTCATAATTTCCTCCCCTAAACTCTCACCTTCCTACCATCCCTATTACTGTGGGAGGCATTACCCTCCTCCCAGTCCCTCAAGCTCACAATCTAGGAGTCTTCCTGGATTCCTCACTTTCTTTCATACCCCTGATCCATGCTGTTGCCATGGCCTGCCAGTGTTCCCTTTGCAACGTCTTTAAAATATGCTCCCTTCTCTCCTCTGACACGGTCACCACCCTAGTGCAGTCCCTCATCATGCCATGCCTGGACTGTTGCAATAGCCTGTTGGTGGGTCTGCCTGACTCAAGTCTCCCCAGTGTATTCACCATTCAGCCACTAACATGATTTTCCTAAAAGTCTGATTATCCCCACCCCCTCCTACTTAATAAACTTCAATGGCTCCCTATTGCCTTCAGAAGCAAATACAAATTGTTTGGTTTGGCATTCAAAATCCTTTGAGACCTACCCTTCACCCATTCTTCCTTTCAAATATTCTTACAGTTTATTCCCCAATATGTAGTCTTTGATCTAGTGACACTGGGCTCCTCGCTATTCCAGAAGCAAGACACTTCATCTCTCAGCTCTGGGTATTTTCTCTGGCCACTCCCCATTCCAGGAATGCTCTCCTCCCTCTATTCTGACTACTGATCCCCTGGCTTCAAGTCCCAACTAAAATCCCACCTTCTATAGGAAGCTTTCCTTAATCCTTCTTAATCCTTCCCTCTGCTATTTTTGATTATTTAGAAATTTTATTTAGATCTTTATTTAGAAAATTAATAAATAATTATTTCATCTTTCCTGTATATAGCTTGCTTTGTACATATTTGTTTGCATGTTGTCTCCTCCACTAGATTATAACCTCTTTGAGGGCAGGACCTGCCTTTTGCCTCTTTTTGTGTCCCCCGTGCTTAGCACAGTGCCTAGAACAAAGTAGGTACTTAATGGATGTGTTTTGATTGATTGACACTGGCAACAATCTTAGAGCTGAGCCTGGTGACTATGGGTAGCAAGACTCATTGGAATTTTGTATGCTTCCAGAAATACTCCCCAGACTTTCTACTGAAATCCAATTGAATTCTGCTTACTGAGAGAGCAGACATGACTCTGACAGAGTCCTCCTGGAGTTGTAATAACCATCTGGGAAGGTGGGGTGCTCTGAAGACAAGCCATTCCCCAAGGGTATAGAGACACTGAGGACATTGTTTTTACCCTATCAAATCACCATTTGAACCAAATAATTGTTGCTGAGCCAGGGAATACCAGAACCAAGTCAGGTGGAAAGAGGCTGGTGACAACCCCAGGGGTTGTTGTTAAGAAGTAATGGAGAGATCCTCAGTCCCAAGATCTGCCCCTCATCCAATGTCAGAATCTGTCTCCAACCCCCACCACCTATTTCCTACACTAACCTGGCTCCCAAGTCTCAGGATGGAGTCCTTTTTTCTTCCTGTGCCTCAGCTTGGGTGCCAAAATTGAGGAAGGAGTCTCACAGTCCAAGGGCCAGCTAAGTGAGAGTCAAAATATGTTTCCCCCATAACCCTAGCTCTCTTCTTTTCCTAAGATTTTATCCCCCAATCCTTCCTCAGGGCCATGGAAGAAAGGACCTGAGAGTGGGAGGAAGGAAATTATCTTCACTAATAATCAACCTGATCATATTATTCCTTTGTTCAAAGAACTCCAATAATTGCAGCTTGCCTCCAGGATAAAATGCCAACCCTTCAGCTTGGTACCCAACGCTCTTTGCAATCTGGCCCTTCCTCCACTTTATTATGCAGTATTCCTCTTCACCCTCTCCCTGCCCCAGCTAAACTAGTTAGTTTACTATTCCCCAAACTCAGTACTCTATTTCCCAACCCCATGCCTTTGTAGTGGTTATTCTTCATACCTGATACGTCCTTCCTCCTCTCCTCTGATTCTTGCCATCCTTAGCGTCTCTCAAGACTCAACTGTTTCTGTGATCCTTTAACAGTTAAATAACTAGGTACTGGTGTTGATAGAGGGCTAGATTTGGAATCAGGAAGACCTGAGATCAATCCCTGGCTTGTATTAGCTATATGACCCTCAGTAAGTTTCTTAAATGTTCTAAGCCTCAGTTTCTTCATATGTAAGATGAAGATAATAACAGCACCCACATCGTGGGGTTATTTTGAAGGATCAAATAAAATAGTATATGTAAAGCACTTTGTAAGCTTAAAAGGGCTACTAAGGGGGATGGGAAGACATTTCGCATTTGCTCCTGGAGGCAATAGGAAACCCCTGGATTTTATTGAGTGGGGGTGGGGTAATATTTAAGAAAGATCATTTTGACAGCTGAGTGGAGGTTGGATTGGAGTGGGGAGGGACTACAGCAGGCCATTACAGTAATTTCGAAGTGAGGTGATGAGAGTGTTTTCTAGAGTGGTGGCAGGGATACAAGGAAGGAGACAAGACAGTGCATTCAAGAAAAGTTGCCAAGATGCTGCTCAGTGGGTGATCCATAGCTGAACCCAAAAGAAAGGTCCTAAGGAGAAAGGATGTAGACCCTTCTGAGGCACCTTCCAGATTCAACCCTATGGCTCTGGCCTGAGTGGAAGATGGGGAGGAGATGTCAACCCAACCACAGAAGAGGTGGAATTGGGAAATGGTTCATCTAAGGGAGAGATGGAGAGAAAAGATGGGCCAGGAGTAAAGACACCTGCATTTAGTAAATATTATTTCTCTTTGTCATTAAACACTAATACAAACTATTTTTCCATCTGGCATGAAGTTTCACAACATCCTTATATCCCCCAATCCTGATACCAGGAGAGGGTAAGCCTTATAGTAATAGGAACTGTTTCCTGTTTTCTTTTTGTATTCCCAGAACAGTGTTCTCTACACAATAACAGCTTAGCAAATATTTGTTGGATTGGATGGACTTGAATTGTTTCCCCAGTTCATGCACTGTTTCTGTTCCTCCTGCCCACAAAGCTAGGTGGAGACACACAGATTAGACAGTGATACTATCAGAGAAATTCAGATCTGGTTAGACGGCCTGACACAAAGAGTAACACTTCATTTTTCACTCAGTGGAGCTGGTGGTTTCCACTGCATCACCCCCAGACAGTTGGGCTTGGTCATTTGCTGTCTAACCTTTATTTAGTCAAATTGGCTAACGGATTGCACGCTCATCAAATCTGAAGACAGCACAAAGATGAAATAGTAGCTAACACACTGGATTATAGACTCAGGATCTGAATGGGTCTTGACAGGCACACATCATGCAGCCCTCAATACTCTTAAGTATAGCCTGAATCAGATTAACATAAAGTTGGGAAATTTTGAATAAAATAAATTTAAAAAACAATAAAACAGATAACATCAATATGATTTCCAAAGGAAATATGAGCTGAGAGACCCTTTAGGTATGGTTTAGTGGCCTCCCTTTTCTCTTTGAGTTTTAAAGGATATAGGACTGAGCTAATATATAAAATTCATTAGGGATAAATTAAGGCTTTTACTTGAATAACCAAAAAATGAATCAACTTAACAAGATGAGATGGGGTAGACATGGGTAGATAGCAGTTGTTATTTTAAAAATAAAAAGGCTAGAGGTTTTAGTCAGTTAAAATCTCTTTCTGAAGCAGCAGTGTGATGTAGTATCCCCCAAAAGCTCATATGACTTTAGGCTACTTAAGGAGGGTAGCAGCTTTCAGGAATAGGGGAAGTAACAGTCCATCTGTGCTCTGCACACATCAGACCTAATCTGCAGTATCTTGTATTATACTGTTTCATTTTTTTCTGTGTAGCACAGTTTAAGAATGACATTGGTAACCTGGAGACTTTCCAGAGGAGCCAACTAGGATTAGGAGGGACCTTGAGTCCATGTACTATGGCAATCAAATGAAGGACCTGGGAATGTTAGCCTAGAGAAGAGAAGAATGGAAGGAGGTAGGAAATGGAAGCTGTCTGCAAGTATTTGAAGGGACCTTGTGAGGTTGAAGGACTAGAATTCTTCTGTCTGGACCCAGAAGACAGAGCCAGTAGCAATGGGAGGATGTTAAAAAGAGACTAATTTGGGCTTCCCATCAGAAAAGGAAAAAAGATCCTCCTAGCAATAAGAAATACCCCAAAGAGGAATCCACTGCCCAGGGAAGAGGTAAGTTCCTCCTCAGCAGAGGTCTTCAAGGAAAGGATAGATGTTCACTTGTTGGATATGTTATACTGGGGGATTCTTTTTGTGTATGCATTGTTCCTTCCAACTCTTTAATTCTATGCAGCCACACAGTGAAGAAAAGATGAATCTAGTGGGGCATTTTGCTTTACAGGAGGTGGATGTAAGGAAAAAAATAAGGAAACCTTCACTCTCAAATAGAAGGATAAGTTCCCTACAACCGGTGATATCATAGGGCTCACTGATGACTTATGGGTTCCACTCTTATGAGCAGATTAGCCAAATGATCACTCAACAGTCATACTTTTCACTGTTTTCTATGATACTTTTACAGATCATAAAACCTGGTAATGATCTTAGCAATCATAGGATCTAATGTATTCATTTCAAAGAAGAGAGAACTAAGGCATTAAAAGGAATGCCTCGATGCAAAAGTTGAGTTAGAAGACAGATAGCCTCTTCTCACTCACTGCCAGGAAACACAGGCTCCTTGAGTAAGATGGAAGATGGTCATCCCATGAATGCTAAGGCTCATCACAACCTTGTGATCATGTCACATTGGGTGTCCAAACACCAAAATCATATGATATAGGATGGGAACAAACATGGGCCAGCTCTTCTCTGTTAGGAAGAACAGAATGTAATGGGGAGGGGAAAGTGGCACAGTATCTGAGGAAGAATTTTGTTGGAGGGATTGTAAACATACAAGAGGAAGAGGAAGAGCGGAGAACCAATTGATAACTAAACAAAGAGGAACCAGAGACAGGGGGGAGTTGGTCATAAGATCTTTCATGTTGAATTAGTTGCAGACTTTTGTAGACTCCTAGAATATTGGACCTTTCAAGGACCTAGGCATCATTCGGTCCAACTCTTGCATTTTTGCATCTAGAATTATGGGATAACTAAGACCCAGAGAGGTTAAGTCCAAGGTCATACAGCTACCAAAGTGACAGCACTAGCAAGCTACTGCACTGGGTGAATTTTCAACAGGAAGTCATGGGTCTAGATGTTGTGGGCAGCTAAAAAGACCACCTCTTCTCCCACATCCTGTGTTGTCCCCTAGAACTGCTAGCATGCTGCTGTAAGGCAAAAGACTGAGAAAAGGAGCAGGCAGAGAAATAGGAAGAGAAAGAATATTAGATTACCAACTCACACAATTTCAGGAGGACTGAGCCCCACTTTCAAATGAAGAAGATCAAAGATCCTGAAGACTAAGCATGGAAAAGGCCTTTAGATTTCAGGCTAAGGAGGCCAAAAGTACTTCATAAATGCTGCTGATTGGCTGGGACAGTAGCCTGATTACACAGTATGAAGCAAGGGAGACTAATGGGTATAGAAGGTTCTAGAGCAATTTAGCTCTAGAAAGAAAAATATAATGGGTTACTGTGGGTCTGCCAGGATCCAAGTAAACAGAAGTCTGATTTTGTTTTCTTTTCAGAATTAGGGAGATTTGAACATGTCTGTAGGCTGAGGGGAAGGGGCCAGCAGACAATGGGATGACTGAAGGACCTCAAAACAGTCTCTGGAAATGGGACTTTGACAAGAAGGGAATGGGATAACTCCAGCAAAGAGGAGGGAAGATCGTCATCAGCCTCTGATTCTGGAAGGCAGACTTCCACAAATGTGGCAGAACACAGGGATCCTTCCCCAGAACTCCCTTAATTGGTCATATGCTTTGTTGTTGTCTGAAAAATGGAGGTAGAAGGCAGACCCTTTGCCAAGCTCCTTCTTGGTGTTGTGCATGATTCTCCTAACCCAAAGATGAAGTGCAGCCAGCACTTCCCCAGCAGCCAGCAGATATGCTGATATCTAGCAGGATCTGCAAGAATCCTCCAGCTGGCCCCACTGTGCCTGGCTTTCATGCCTTTGAACCTTAGGTCCTGAGAGCTCTAATATTCTTTGAGTCTTCTAAAGTTTCCTGTCTTCTAGGCCTGAAAACTTCCAAAGTGAAGTGTAAAGTTTCTTGTGAATATAGAACTTGAATCAGTGATGAATTAAGGTCAAATTCCTTGAAAAGGCTGCCCAACTTTAGATTTGTTCTCTCATGAAGTCAGTTCCTGTGGGTCAAATTATCATATCTCCATGATAGCCCATCACCTAGCACAGTGCCTGACACAGAGTAGGCACTTAATAAATCTTTATTGACTGACTACACAAATAATTACTAAGTCTATAGTTACAGCTTCTATTTCTCTCCTGAGTTCTGGGTCCACATCACCAATAGCAATTAGCCATTTCTATCTTGATGTCCTGTAGACATCACAGATTCAACGTATCCAAAACTAAGATTATAATCTCTAAGCCTCCTTTAAACTTTCATATTCCTATCAAGCTAGGCTTGAGCGATATGTGAACCAAGAATTACCCAAAGAGCAGGCTGGTTTTGAAGAGGCAGAGGAACTAGAGATCAGATTGCCAACATTCACTAGATTGTGGAGAAAGTGAGGGAGTTCCAGAAGAACTTTACTTCTGCCTCATTGACCACACTAAAGCCTTTGACTGAGTGGATGACAATAAAATGTGGCAAGTCCTCAAAGAAATGGGAGCACCAGATCATCTTAGTCTTCTGAGGAACTTGTATGTGGGTCAAGAAGCAGCAGTTAGAACCAAATTGAACAACTGATTGGCTTAAGATTGGGAAAGGAGTACAAGGCTGCATCTTGTCATTTTATTTATTTAACTTATAGCAGAGTACATTATGTGAAATTTCAAGCTAGATGAATCAAAAGCCAGATTTAAGGCTGCCCAGAGAAAATAATCAGATATGCAGATGATACCATTCTGATGTCAGAAAGTGAAGAAGAATTAAGAAGCCTCTTGATGAGGGTGAAAGAAGAGAATGTAAAAGGTGGCTTGAAGCTTAATGTAAAAAAAAAAAATTAAGATTTTGACAACTGGTCCCATCACTTCCTCACAATTAGAAGGGGAAGAAATGGAAGCAGTGTCAGATTTTATATTCTTGGACTCAAAAATCAGTGTTGACAGACACCGTAGCCATGAAATTAAAAGACACTTGCTCCTTAGGAGGAAAGCTATCGCAAATCTGGACAGTGTACTAAAAAGCAGAGACATCACCTTGACAACAAAGGCCCATATAGTCAAAGCTATGATTTTTCTGGTACCAATGCATGGCTGCGACAGTTAGACTATAAAGAAAGCTGAGTGCTGCAGAATTGACACTTTTGAATTGTGATGCTGGAGAAGACTTTTGAAAAGTCCCTTGGACAACAAGGAGATCAAATCAGTCAGTTTAAAGAAATTAATTCAGACTATTCACTGGAAGGTCAGATACTTTGGCCACATAATGAAAAGAGAAGACTCACTGGAAAAGACCCTGATGTTGGGAAACATTGAAAACAAAAGGAAAAGGAGATGGCAGAGAATGACATGGGTAGAGGGTGTCATGGAAACAATGAACATGAACTTGGGCAGACCCTGGGAGACAGTGGTGGATAAAGGTGCCTGGTGTGTTATGGTCCATGGTGTCATGAAGAGTCAGACACAACTGAATGACTGAGCAACAAAAACAACATCATTGCTATTGAGGACACTGCCAGCCTTACAGTCTTTCAAATTTGTGACCTCAGTATTATTCTTCACTCTTCACTCTCACTCCAGTTATGCATTCAATTGCTTAATAACCTATATCTTGCCTCCAATATCTCTCACATCACTGACCTTCTCTCCACTTACATAGCCACAACTATAGTGTTGGCCGTCATCACTATTGCACTAGCCTCCTAACTGGTTCTCCTGCCAGAACTTCCTCCCTATTCCAATTCTTCCTTCATATAGTTGCCAAACTTATTTTCCCCACTGCAAATTTGTTTACGTTATCCCCCTACTTAATAATCTCCAGTGACTCCCTGTTCTCTGCAAGATCAAATACAAATTTCCTTGTTTGCTATTTATGACCTGTCCCCAAGTTACTTTTCCAACATTTGTATTTACTTTGTTCATTTATGACTCTGGACTCCTTGATGTTCCATGAACAAAATGGAATTCCACCTCTTTACTGAAGACATTTTCTCTGGTTGTCCTTCATACCTAGAATTCTCTCTCCTCATCTCTACCTGCTGCCTTCCCTGACTTTCTGTTAGCCCCAACTAAAAACCCATCTTTTACAGAAAGCCTTTCCCAACATCTCTTCATCGTAGTCCCTCCACTTTATTAATTATTTCCTACTTACCCATATACAATCTATACATATTTGCCCCTTGTCTCCATTCATTAGGTTTTCAGCTTTTAGAGGGCAGACTGTTTTTTGCCTCTTTTTGTATCCCCATAACTTAGCTCAGTGCCTGACACATAGTAGGTTCTTAATGAATGTTTCATTCCTGTTGTTCAGTCACTTCTGACTCTTTGTGATCCTGTTAGGGGTTTTCTTGGCAAATACATGGATTGACTAATAGAAAATTACAAAAAGGAGTGGGTTAGGAGGAATAGTTAACTTTTGGACACATTGATCTTAAGGTTTTATGAGAAAACTAGTTTATGATGTCCAATAAGCAGCTAGAAATGTGAGACTGAAGTTCAGAAGGTAGGTTATGTTTGCATGAACAGATCTGAACACTGTCAGCAGAGATGAATATTGAATCCATGGGAGCTAAGATCATTAAGCAAAGCAAAATGAGAGAGACTAGACAAGAGGCCCAGGTAACTCCCATGGTTGTTTGGTGTGGCCCAGACAAAGATCCAACAAAGGAGACTGAAAAGGAGCAATTACACAGGGAGAAGAAAACAAGGAGAAATCGACATGATGAAAGCCTGGAGAGGAGAGAATGTCAGCAAGTTGGAGAATGTGATTGACCAGATCAGAGGCTACAGAGAGCTCGAGAAGGACGAAGATTGAGAAAATGCCATTAGAATGAACAACTTTAAAATAAAAAAAAGGCAGTAGTAACTTTGGAGAGAGCAGCTGGGTGGCACTGCAGTGGATAAAGTGCAGGGCCTGGAGTGAGGATGGCCTGAGTTCCAATCCAGCCTCAGATCCCAGCTGTATGACCCTGGGCAAGTCACTTCACCCTGTTTGCCTTAGTCCCTCTTCTGTAAAATGAGCTGGAGAAGGAAATGGCAAACCACTCCAGTACCTTTGCCAAGAAAACCCCAAATGGGATCACAGAGAGTCAGACATGACCGAACAATGACTGAACAACTTGGGAGAGAGCAGTTTCAGCTGAATTTTGAGATCACGTGTAATATAGCCATTACTTAAGAGGAAAGGAAGAGGAGGCTCCGATTACATATAACCAGCTCTCAGAGTTTTTCTACAAAAGGAAAGTGAACTATAGGATGATAACTAGTGAGGATGAATGTAAAGTGAGGAAATGTCTTTTTTCTAGTGCATAGGGGAGATGAGGGCAACCAGTTTCTAGGCCATGGAGAAATATTTATATAGAGAGAGGGGTTGTATGTCAGTGAGAATGGAATATTCAGTGCTCATCAATGGACTATGTGAATATAATAAAAATGGCAATACAATAAAATATTACTACTACATAAGGTACAGTTTTAGGATATGCTAATCAAACTACCAAAGGTATAGTTTACAAAATTCAAGAAAATAACAATATTCATTTGGAGAAACAAAAGACATAGCATATTAAGAAAAATAATGAGGGGGAAAACAGGGATAAATTGGGACTTGACATTTCCAGGTCTCAAACTGTATTATTAAGCAGTAGCCATCAGTTTAACAAAATTTTAATTAAAAATATAAAAACAGATAAACCATTGGTTAATATGATTTTAAGAGAGAAGAAAACAAAATCACTAGTATTAAAAATGAAAAGGGTGAATATGCCTCTAAGGAAAATGAAATCAAAGGAATTATAAGGAGTTATTTTGTCCAATTATATACCAACAAATTTAACAGTTAAAGTGAAATAGAAGAATATTTACAAAAAAAATTGACAAAGTAACAAAAGATAAAATTGAATATCTAAATAAAAGTATTTTAGAAAAAAAAGTTGAACTTCCTAAGACAAAAGCATCAGGACCAGATTTACAGGTGAATTCTATGAAATATTTGAAGATCAACTAATTCCAATATTAAATAAATTATTTGGAATAGTAAGCAAAGAAGAAGTCCTACCCAACTCCTTTTTATGAAACAAATATGGTGTTGATACCAAAACCAGGAAGAGCAAAAACAGAGAAAGAAAATTACAGACCAATTCCATTAAATAATATGGAGGTAAAGATTGTAAATAAAATATTAGATAGGAGGGTGTGATAATATATTGCAAATATTATGCATTGTGACCAAGTTAGATTTATATCAGGAATGCAGGGATGGTTTGACATAAGAAAAAAGGCAGTTTTCAGATGAAGAAAACAAAGCTATCAATAGTCATATGAAAAATTCTGTAAATCATTATTGATCAGATAAATACAAATTAAACAACTCTGACCTACCACCCCACACCTACCAGATTGTCTACTTTGGCAGAAAAGGAAATGATAAATGTTAGAGAATATGTGGGAAAATTGGAACACTAATGCATTAGTGAAGTTGTGAACTGATCCAACCATTCTGGAGAGCAATTTGGAACTCTGTCTAAAAGGCTATTACACTATGCATACCCTTTGATCCAGCAATAATATTTCTAGGTCTGTATCCCAAAGAGATCATGAAAGAGGGGAAAGGACTTCCATGCACAAAAATATTTGTGATTGTGATGGAATACTATTATCCTATAAGAAATGATGAGCAGGCTAATTTCAGAAAAACCTAGGAAGACTTTCATGAACTGATGCTGAGTGAAGTGAGTACATTGTACATTGTACACAATGATGGCAACATTGTATGATGATCAATTGGGAATGACTTAGCTATTCTCAAAAATACAATGACCACAGAAAATTACAAAGGACTCATGATGGACAATGCTATCCACACCCAGAGAAAGAAGGGATCGACTCTGAATGCAGATCAAAGCATATTATTTTCACTTCATTTTTTCATGTTTTTTTTTTCCTTTTGAAAACTGTAATCGTTTTTTTGGAAACTGTTTCTTCCTTCACAACATGACTAATATGGAAATAGGTTTTACATGATTGAACATATACAACCCATATCCAATTGCTTACTGCCTTAGGGAGGGGGGAGGGAAAGAAGGGAGGGAAAAAATTCAGAACTCAAAATTTTATTTAAAAAATGAATGTTTAAAATTGTCTTTACATGTAATTAGAAAAACATAAAATATTATTTAAAAAACAATCAGCTTCCTGGAGGAAAAAAAAGGACACAGGACACACTTTTCAGTTTAACCTACATTATCCATATTTTCTCTGTCACTTTCTTTGGTCTAGACAACAAAACGATGATTTCTAGTGTTTACCAACTTCAAAGGTGTAGACGCTCAGAATGAAAATGTAACACTAGAAGCTGCTTTCAGCTTGCTCTAGTACAGCGCTAGCTGGATGGACATCTTCCTGCCTGACCTGCCTTGCGCCAAGTGTATGTTAAACAAACATTTACTAAGGTTAAGGAAGTAAAGAGCATTTGAATTTTGAATGTTTGAAATCTGCAATGAGTCATCCATTTTAGATGGTCAAGCATAGGCCTTAGCCTGTCTGGGTGGAGATAGCACCTCCTTCCACCACATCCTGTATCCAGCCAGCTAGTCTGACCCATCTTTCCTCTCTGCATCAGAGTCCAAGCAGCCTCAGACCCTGCTAAGGGCTTGTCATGTCCCCAGCACTCATGGCCCTCCTCTGCTTTGGTGAGTCCTTGGATGGTCTGGGAGAGGCAGGGAGATTGTGAGAAGGTCTTTGGGCAGTGGGCTTTGGTGAATAGAGAGAGCCCCTGACATTTCCTTTGTCCTGTCATATCCTTCTTCTCATCTAATTGACTTAGTTGAAATGGGGAGAAGAAAGGTGCTTGACAGGGTGTGGGGGGCAGCCACCTATAATCAGAATCTCTCTAACAGGGCTATGTCTGGTCAAGAAGATGGAGTCAAAGACAGGTGAGTCCTTCTTTCCAACTCTTCACCCCCTTCACTCCTCCTTCTGGCCAAATAGGAAGGAAGAATAGGACATTTAATATAGGTCTATGGGTTCTACCTTGGAGAGAGACATTGAAAGCAATTCTTTCCCAAATTCCAGGATCTGGGTTCTTCAAAAAGCATTCCCCAGCCTCTCTCTTTCTCTATGAACTGTGTCCAGCTCTGAGGTCTCTTGATGCTGGGAGCCACAGGAGACTGAGAGTTCTAGCTCTTGAAGAAAGAAAAGTTCAGAGACCAGAATAAGATATATTCCCACTCAAGATTACGAGACCCAAAGATTCAGGGAGGTCTAGTTGCCGGTGTGAGAGGAACACCTTCCGGTCAGAGTTTGGGGTACCCTTGCAGGAGCTAGTGGTGATTTCTGAGGTGGTTTGGGGGAAGGGCCCTTGACCTCTCTCCTGATTGCCCTTTGTCCCCAAGGACCCCTTGTCCTGATTGGGGATTCCTCAGTATTTGCTGCCATTAGGCCCTTCCTGGATGCTAAGGGTTACATGTCCCCCAGCTATTCTAACCTTGGTGGGAGAGTCTCATTTCTCTTAGGACTACTAGGAGAACTCCTATCTGCAGTATTGCTGTATCAGTCTGTCTCCTGAGTCAGGAGGGAGGACTGTCGGGAGGCTATTGCCAGAGAGTTCAACAGCAGCAGCAGCAGCAGCAATGCTCTGACAACAGCCAAGGGCTTTGGGGACTGAGCTCAGCAACTTGTGGAGGGAGGGAGGGGCTGGGAGAGGCTTGCCTTCTCTCCCCAGCCACCTCCTCCCTTCCAACGCAGTGCTCTCCCAAAGCCTCCCAGCACCTCACGTGGCCTCCCTCCATCTCTCAGCCCTGGTGTCCCCCAGGCCTGGAATGCTCTCCCTCCTCATCTCTGCCTCCTGGTTGTATCTTAAAACCAAAAAGAACAAAACAGAATTCAGCATCTTTTTTGCTAAACACCCTCTCTTCCAGATGTTATTCCTTATGTTGAAGGCTCCATCATCCTTCCAGGCTCCTGGGTTCATAAGCTATGCCTTCTCTTGGCCTCCCCACTCGCTCTCACTCCAGATGTCAATCAGTCCCCCAGTCCTGCTGCTTCTACCATAACAATATCTCTTAATCTGACCTCTTTTTTCCACTCAAGCAGCTACTTACCACCTCACTTCAGGCCCTCAGCATTTCTTACCTTGATTATATCAATACTCTCCTCACTGGCCTTCCTCCCTCAGGACTTTCCCACTTCAGCACTTCCTAATCACTGCTGCCAAATTAATGTTTCTTTTTTTCTGGGGGGTGGGGCTAGGCTATGGGGTTAAGTGACTTGCCCAGGGTCACACAGCTAGTGTCATGTGTCTGAGGCCAGACTTGAACTCAGGTCCTCCTGAATCCAGGGCCGGTGCAATATCCACTGCGCCACCTAGCTGTCCCTAAATTAATGTTTCTTAAATCTAGCTCTGACCATGTAACTTCCCCTACTGCACAAATGGCTCCCCCATTGTCTCTAGCATAAAAGTAGACACTCCTCTGTCCAGCTGCGAATGCTCTACACAGCCTGGCCCCAGGTAATCACTTCAGGCATCACTCCCTGGCCTGTGCTCTGCGATGCAGCCAAACCCTCACCCATGACATTCAATATCCTACCTCCAATTCTTTGGCCTGGCCATCCCCCACGTCCTCTTGACCTCTGCCTCACAGGGTCCCTGCTTCCCTTTAAAACTCAGTTCAAGCACCATTTTTCACATGAAACCTTGCTGGATTTCCCAAAAGGTGAGGACCACGGTGTCCCAAGAATCTTAGTGAACATTTAAGCTTTCATAGCTTAACACTCTGTATGAACATTGATTACCATTAATGTTTACTCACTGGATAGTCATGATCTATACTTGTCTCCCCTATTAGAAGATCCCCTCCTTTCAAGCACACTTTTCCATTCTTTGTACTTATATTCCCAGCACCCTAGCCCAAGGCCAGGCACTTAGGAGGTGCTTAAATCTTTGTTGATAGATCGATACCTTGTGGCTCAGTTTGCTTTTTGTTTTTCTTTTTTAATCTCCAAAGTGGTGAAGTGGATAGAAAGTGGGACTTGGAGCAGGAAGGATTGAGTTCAAGCCCTGCCTTATCTACCTGTAACTGCGTGACCCTGGACAAGTCACTTACCTCTTTATTTCAGTTTCCTCATCTGTAAAATGAGGCATCTGGGTTCAGGGGCCTCTGAGCTTCCTCTCCGTCCTAAGTCGATGAGCTGATGATCCTTTGAGAGACCTCTGCTCCTCTACCCCTCTAATTCTCAATCTCCCTTCCCTCCAAGAGTTCTTCCCCAAACCATTGCTATGTGCCTTGCCCAGAGCCATGGTGCTCCCGGGGTGGAATGTGACATTGCGGTGCTGGCAGCCTGCCCAGTCTTCCCTCCAGGGGCTGAGATTTGCTCTGATGAAAGTGGGGACCACAGAGCCCATACAAAGCCAAAGTCTTGGGGGGACTCAGGCTGACTTCTCTCTGCCATCTGTGACTGCTGAGAACACAGGGAGTTACAACTGCCTTTACTATGAAATGAATGCCCCCCACAGGATGTCAGAGCCCAGTGAGATCCTGGACCTGTTGGTGACAGGTGAGGAGGCAAGACCCAAGGCCACTCTGTATCTTCCCCACAGAGATGGGGGGGTGGAAGGAGTGGTCACCTGGGAGGAGACTCTACCTTGGAAAGCTGCAGGACCCCCCAAGGCTTGGTTTCACCTAGTCTCCCCAATAAAGGGAAAGAGGGAGAGAGGATTCTCCCCAGCCCCCTGCAGGACCTAGGGGTGGGGGCAGGGAGATAGGACAGACCCTGAGCTGCTGCTATTTCTCCTCTTCTCAGACGATTGTGTGGACTTCTCAGAAGTTCTTCTCAGAACTACACTGAGTGCCACTGAAGGGCTAGGGATGGGGCCAGCGGCATCCCCCTTTGATCTCTGGTTCTTCCTTCTTTCCCAGGGTATCTCCCCAAACCCTCTCTCTTGGCCCGGCCAAGTCCTATGATGTCCCCTGGAGGGAATGTGACCCTCTGGTGCTGGCGGCCTCCCCAGGCAGACCTCCAGGAAGTGAAATTTACCTTGCTTAAGGCTGGGACCCTAAAGCCCTTACAACACCAGATCCCAGCAGAGATCCAGGCTGCCTTTTCCCTCCTGTCCGTCAGGGCTGAGGATGCTGGAAGCTACACATGCACCTACTCTGAGACAGAGCCCCCTGGCATGATGTCAAAGCCCAGTGATGCCCTGGAGCTGTTGGTTACAGGTGAGAGGAGATGTGGCCAAGAGTAACTGTAGGTCAGACACATCCCTCTCTCCAACACAAAGGACCTGTAGGGCCAAAGGGAACTGTGTCCCTGAAGACATCTTTGCTCTGAGAACCTGTGAAACTCAGGGGTCCCAGAGGAGAAGAGGCCTTTATAGTCAAAGCTAACCCAGCTGGGAGGGAGAGAAATGGAGGGGAGAGAGGAGTCAGGAGTAGAATTGGCAAGCATCAGAGTTGCAAAGGGGCTGCCCCTTGCACCAACAATAAAGGAGTCTGAGTTCAGATTAGGGGAAGTTATTTACCCAAGGTGATGCAGAAAGTAGAGCTAGAACCCAGACCATGTTGTGACCTTTGCAATTAGCCTAGGTACTGAGCCTGCCTGAGGCTTCCACTGACCAGGTGAGAGATGAAGTGGCACATCAGAGATCAAAGTAGATCTTCCTGCAGTCAAATATCCCAGTCGAAAAGGGAGAAGCAAAAACATGTATTAAGCACTTCCTATGTGGTAGTCCCTCTGCTAAACTCTGGGGCTACAGATGGAGAAGCAAGACAATGTCTGCTGTCAAGGATCTAATAGTTGAATGGAGGGCACAACCCAGAAAAGAAAGGTCAGCTCTGAGGCATCTGGAAGGGCCTGCAAGGACTAAGGGCTCCACAGAGGGTTCCCTAGTTGACATCAATAAGTCAGCTAACACAGCCAGGGGACTGAAGAGCAGCAAGGACCAGTCGTCCTCCATCTCACCTGAGGAACTACATTGGTGACTCCCATCTCACCTAAGTCCTATGAGCAGTAAAGCCCACGTGGGTTTAGGGCTGCCCCGAGACCAGGTAAACGAGGAAGGCCAGGAGAAAAGGGGAAGGGAGCTCAGAATGGTAATAGGTTGGCCAGTCATCCTGGATGGGTTTGGGGATGGCCTGGGGCTGGGGAGAAGGCAAGGGAGGGAAAGTGAAGGAAGACAGGATCCCTCCATGGAGATGGGGACTGGAAGGTGGGGGATCCTCCTTTAATATGAAAGTCTCCTTCTGGAATCATTGGTTAGTTGGAAGGGACTTAGAGAACATCATGTATCATCCCTGATGGAACCAAAAGGAAACCGAAGAGAAGGACGGATCAGAAAACCATTGCCCTGGAAGGGGGAAGAATATGTCCAGGGAGCACAGTTGGTTAGCAGCGTGGCTGGGCCATGAACCCAGCTGTCCTGATTTAGTTTCATCATCTTTCTCTCACAGGTTCTCTCCCCAAGCCCTTGCTCTCAGCCCTTCCAGGTCCTGTGATAGCCCCGGGGTGGCACGTCACACTCCAGTGTCAGCAGCCAACCTGGTCCTCCCTCTGGGGATTGACATTTGCACTGTTTAAAGCTGGTGTCCCTGAGCCCATACAGCAACAGAGACCAGTGGGGGCCCAGGCTTTCTTCCCCATCCTGGCTGTGAGGGCCCAGGATTCAGGGAACTACAGCTGTGTTTACTACCATTCGATGGCACTTCAGCACAAAGCGTCAGAGCCCAGTGATCCCCTGGAAATCCGGGTGACTGGTGAGTGAGGGAAGGGAGGGAGACTGGGATGTGCATTACTTCCTCAGGGTGGGGGCACTCGGAGCCAGGTTGGAGAGGAAGGTGGGGAATTTAGGAAGGCCTATCATGAGTAAATTCAGTAGGTAAACTGAAGTGCATGTGCTGAGCAAAACCAATTGACCAACAGGGATGTGTGTAACTATGAACAAATCAGTCCGACTGACCAGCTCGGTAGGGTTAGCAACCCAACAAGGGGGGGGGGATGGGGGGAGCTTTTTATTGTCATGCAGAAAAGGGAGTCTGAAGAGTAGGGAACATGCCACCTGCCTCCACTAAGAAAAGTAGGTTGGCATTCAGGCGTGGATAATCACACCCCTCCCTGACAATAAAGGAGCATTAATTCTTTTATGGGACTCATCTGCCTCAGGCAATCTTTGCTAGGGAATCAGTACCACCTGCCTCAATGTCCCATTGAAGGAGATCAAATCTCCACATGCAGAAGGAGAGGCAAGGATGGAGATGTATCTTTTGGGAGAAGGCACCAGGGTAAGCTGTCTGGGGCTTACAAAAAGCAAAGGATATCCCAGGAGTTAATGGGGTGAGTTGATAGCATCCCCTTTCAACCACACCTTAAATTAACACAAAGGAAAAACTGAATTCCTGAGCTTAACTCAAGAATAGAGAAACATGGCTTGACAAAATGTGTCAGTAGTGCATGATAGAGTCAATAACTGAATAGAATCAATTATTAAATTATACAAAATAATTTTAATACCCTCAAGCCTCAGTGTGAGAGGAGCGGGGGGACCATCAAGGTAAGGGCTAGAATGGCATCAGAGAAAGTATCTTTACTGTCTTGCATCATTTATCAATTAGAGAACAATTTGTATTCTTATAAATTTGACTCAGTTCTCTATATATTTGAAAAATGAGGCTGTTAGAGATTCTTGCTGTAAATTTTCCCCCAGTTTTCTGCTTTCCTTCTAATTTTGGTTACATCAGTTCTGTTTGTGCAAAAACTTTTCAATTTTATATAATTAAAATTATGTGTTTTACATTTTGTAATGCTCTCTTTATCTTGTTTCTCTAAATTCATCCCTTATCCATAGATCTAACACATAAACTATTCCATTCTTTCCTAATTTGTTTGTGGTGTCACCCTTTATAAATAAATCATGTGTCCATTTGGAACTTGTCTTGGTACGTGGTGTGAGATGTTGATCTATACCTAGTTTCTGCCATCCTGCTTTCACTTTCTAGCAGTTTTTGTTACATAGTGATTTTTTTGTCCCAAAATCTTGGATCCATCAAACACAAAATTGCTATTGTCATTTACTACAATGTGCCTAATCTATTCATCTGACTCACCACTCTATTTCTCAGCCAGTACTGCTTTGATGATTACCACTTTATAATATAGTTTGAGATCTGGTATGGCTAGAGTAGCATCCTTCACATTTATTTTCTTTGATTCCCTTGATATTCTTGACCTTTTGTTCTTCCAGATGAATTTTGTATTATTTTTTCTAGCTCTATAAAATAGTTTGATTGGTATGGCACTGAATAAGTAGATTAATTTGGGTAGAATTGCCATTTTTGTCATTTTCATTATATTGACTTGGCCTACTCATGAACAATTCAAATTGTTTAGATCTGAATTTATTTGTGTGAGAAGTGTGCTGTAATCGTGTTCATACAGATCCTGGGTTTGTCTTGGCAGGTGGACTCCCAAGTATTTTATATTGTCTACAGTTATTTTAAATGGAATTTCTCTTTCTATCTCTTACTGCTGGACTTTGTTGGTAAAATATAGAAACACTGATTATTTGTGTTGTTTTATATTCTGCGACTTTGCTAAAGTCGCTAATTATTTCCACTACTTTTTTTAGTTGATTCTTTAGAATTCTCTAAGTGTACCATTATATCTTCAAAGAGTGATAGTTTTGTGTCCTCATTGCCTATTGTAATTCTTTAATTTCTTTTTCTTCTCTTATTGCTAAAACTAGCATCTCTGGTATAATATTGAATAATAGTGGTAATGAGCATCCTTGATTCCCCCTTGATCTTATTGGGAAGGCTTCTAGCTTATCCCATTGTAAATAATGTTTGCTGATGGTTTTAGATAGATGCTACTTATTTTAAAGAAAGCTCTATTTATTCCCATGGTCTTTAATGTTTTTCCTAGTAGTGGTAGGAATGGGTGTTGTATTTTGTCAAGAGCTTTTTCTGCATCTATTGAGATAATCATGTGATTTTTTGTTGAGTTTGTTATTGATACGGTCAATTATGCTGATAGTTTTCTTAATATTGAACTAACATAGTAAAAATCTCATCTGGTCATAGTGTGATATACTGCTATAATCTCCTGGCTCATATTTTATTTAAAATTTTTGCATCAATATTCATTAGTGAAATTGGTCTGTAGTTTTCTTTCTCTGTTTTTGCTTTTCTGGGTTTAGGTATTAACACCATATTTCTGTTGTAAAAGGAATTTGATAGGACTCCTTCTTTGCCCATTTTTCCAATAGGTAATATAGTATTGGAATTAATTATTCTGCAAATGCTTGGTAGAATTCACTTGTGAGTCTATCTGTCCCTGGGGACTTTTTTCTTAAGGAGTTAATTGATGGCTTGTTCAATTTCTTTTTCTAAGATGAGATTGTTTAAGTATTCTATTTCCCCTTTTGCTAATCTGGGCAACTGCATTTTTGTAAATATTCATCCATTTCACTTAGACTGTCAGATTTATTGGCATACAAACAGGACAAAATAGTTTCTAATAATTGCTTTAATTTCCTCTTCATTGGTGGCAAACTCATCCCCTTTCATTTTTGATACTAGAAATTTGGTTTTTTCTTTCATTTTTTAATCAAATTAACCAATGGTTTATCTATTTTATTGGATTTTTCATAAAACCAGCTTCTAGTTTTATTTATTATTTCAATGGCTTTCTTGCTTTCAGTTTTATTAATCTCTCCTTTGATTTTCAGGATTTTCAATTTGGTGTTTAATTATTTTTAATTTGGTTTTTTTCTAGTGTTTTTTTAAGTTGCATGCCCAATTTTTTGATTTCCTCTTTCTCTGTTTTGTTGGAGTGAGTATTTAGAGATATAAATTTTCCTGTAAATACTGCTTTGACTGTATGCCATAAATCTCATTGTGTTGTCTCATTGTTATTAAAATTATTGATTGTTTCTATGATTTGTTCTTTGACCCACTTATGCTTTAAAATTAGAATTAGTTTCCAATTAGATTTTAAGCCATCCTTCCACTGCCAATTATTTAATGTTATTTTATTGCATTATGGTCTGGAAATGATTCATTTAATATTTCTGTTTTTGATTGTGAGGCTTTTGTGCCCTCTAATGCATGGCCAGTTTCTGTGTAAGTGCCATGTACCACTGAGAAAAAGGTATATTGCTTTCTATTCCCATTCAGTTTTCTCCAGAGGTCTATCATATCTAACTTTTCTAAAATTCTGTTCACCTCCTTAACTTCTTTCTTGTTCATTTTGTGGTTAGATTTATCTGGTTCTGAGAGGAGAAATTTAAGGTCCCCCACTAATATAGTTTTGCTGTCTATTTCCCCCTGTAACTCAATTAACTTCACCTTTAAAAATTTAAACATTATACCATTTGGTGCATGTGTGTTTAGCATGGATATTACTTCATTTTCTGTGGTACCTTTTAGCAAAATATAATTTCCTTCCTTATCTCTTTTAATTAGATCTAGTTTTACTGTTGCTTTGTCTGAGATCATGATTGCTACCTCTGCTTTTTTTAATTCAGCTGAAGTATAACAGATTCTTCTCCAGCCCCTTACCATTGCTCAGTATCTGTCTTTGTGGCAAAAGTGTTTCTTGTAAACAGCATATTGTAGGATTCTTATTTTTAATCCACTCTATTATCCACTTCTGTTTTATGGGTTAGTTTATCCCATTCACATTTACAGTTATGATACCTAACTGTGTATTTCCCTCCATCCTATTTGTCCCTTGTTTATCTTTCTCTGTCATCTTGGCACCAGAAGTCTCTTTAGCCTCATTTCACGGAAGAGTAAACTGAGTCCCCAAGAATCAATCAACAAATATTTATTAAGTACCTACTATGTGCCAGGCACTGTACTAGGCACTGGGCATACAAATACAAAGAATAAAGCAATCCCTACGTCCAAGGAACTCACATTCTGTTGTAAATGCAGAAACATGTACACCGCAACTACAAAATGAATAAATGCAAATTAATGGAAAGTCATTATCAACAAGGTAGTTTGACAGGGAGAGCACCAGACATTGGGAGGGATTAGCAAAGGCTTTTCACAGATGATCTGTGGCTTAAATGAAGGTAGAGATACTATGAGAATGTAGGGAAATGTTTTATTTTTTATTGTTCAGAAAACGTTAATGTTTGAAGCTAGCATTATATGGCTAGAAATCATCTAACCCAAAAGCTTACTGTAGAGGTCAAGCTAACCTCAGAGGTCACAGGGGAAGCAGGATGGCTACAGAGAGTGTTTAGAACTCACCCAGATCTTGTTCTGGGTCCATCCAAAGCTTCTCCCCAAATTTAAATGCTTCTACTTACCTGCTAATATACATCTCAAACCGCCTACTGGAAACTACCTACTGCCTACCTGTGGTCAATCTGGCAAATCTTTATGCCCACATCTGAACTCTATGTAATGTAAACCTCTCAGAGACTTGACAGGAGCCACACCTACTTCTAGCACTTTTTTGCCAAATAACATAACAAAATTATTTTTTACGCTTTCAGATTTGGGGGTACATTCTCATGCCTATCAAGAGCAAGGTAAGAAGAGGATGAATTCCTGCTAAAGGGATCATCCAATGGAGAAGTACCAGGCTAGGAGAAAGAGTGTCACGTGGAAAAACTAGAGAGAGAAGGCCAGTGTGAATGGCTCTCAGAGCATAGGCAGTGGAGCAATCAATGTCCAATGAGGGTAGAAAGATTCCCTTCAGGCCATATTGTTAAAGGCTTTAGAAGCTTAACAGAGGACTTTATATTTTATTTTAAAGGCAAAAGAAATATACTAGAGTTGATTAAGTTAAGGAGTCATGTGGTCAGATCTGTGATTTAAGAGAATTCCTTTGGAGTCAATGTGTAAGACAGACAAGAGTGATGAAAAATTAGAATTAGGGAGACAAATTTATTGTTGTTGTTCAGTCATTTCAGTCATATCTGATTCTTCATGACCTCATTTGAGATTTTCTTGGCAAAAATCCTGGAGTGGTTTTCCATTGCCATCTCCAGCTCATTTTACAGATGAGGAAACTGAGGCAAACAGGGTTAAATGATTGCCTAGGGTCATTAATATGTAACTGAGGCCAGATTTTAACTTGGGAAGATGAGTCTTGAAGTGGTTCTGGAGATAACACAGCTGGAATCTTTCTATAGAAGTTAAGTGAGAAATAGGAGCCCAGGTTTTAAATAACTGTATGCAGAAGGGCTATCACTTTTATCCCCTCCATTCTTCAGACTCCTGAAGGTATGGAGACTTGGGCAAGAAGTCATTGATGGGGTTTCAGCCTATCTAGGAACGAGATAGTAACTTCACTTCTTGAGGTCAGCTCCATTCTTCAGACTCCTGAAGGCATGGAGACTTGGGCAAGAAGTCATTGATGGGGTTTCAGCCTACCTACAAACAAGATAGTAACTTCACTGCTTGAGGTCAGCTCTCTGGTCTCTACTATGTGATTGTTGGGGAAACTAAAATAAGTCATCACTGGATCAGGACTGGGCTCAGGGTGTCAGCGGCCTCATCATGATCTAAGTTCTCACTGAAGGCTGAGATGGGAAAGGATACACAGTTTAGACAGAATATCAAAGTAAGGACAGATCACAGGATGACTGCAAAACGGTAACATAGTACTTACTGTTAGAATAGTGGCAAAAATGATAATGCTCAGAATGAATTAAGGCTAGTGAAGACAGTGAAGTGCAACAGAAATGTTATGTGGGAGTGGTGTTACTGTGATGGGAAAAGTGGAGGATGAAAAAAAAGCCCTAAAGGTGCACAGGGTGGAGAGAATGAAGACAACTGACAGAAAAAAAAAGAAGACTGCTCATCTCTCATTGTTGCTATTTTCTCAGCCAAGGAGAATGACATTCTCAGTGGCAATGATAAATGCAAAAAAAAAAAAACCTACAGGAAGTTAATAGCCAAGTTAATGAGTGGATGGATGAAGAGATGGACGGACTTATTAAGTGTTTACTATGTGTCAGGCTGTGTGCTAAATGTCTGGAGTAGCCATTCAAAAGCAAGACAGTTTATGTTCCCAAGGAGCTTACATGCTAATGACTGAGGCAATACAGAGATATCAGTGTTAACTAGAGAAAAGTGATTTGGTCTGAAAAGTCATGAGGGTGGTGACTAAAACCAAAGGGCATTTGATTACCCCAGGTAGTGTAGATTTTTTCTATTCCTATATCTAAAAATTTTCTATTTTTCTATTTCCATAATTTTTCCATTTTTTCTATTTTTATATTTCTATAAAATTTCTATTTTTCTATATTCTATTTTCTATAAAATTTTCCATTCCTAAATCAAAGTTAACTGGGACAATGAATTCTGAATTATTACGAGGTATAGAAGTCAAAAACCAGACAAACAGGGACAGCTAGGTGGCACAGTAGATAGAGCTCCAGCCTTGGAGTCAAGAGGACCTGAGTTCAAATCCCACCTCAGGCACTTAACAATTACTAGCTATGTGACCCTGGGCAAGTCACTTAACCCCAATCACCTCTCAGGAAAAAAAAAAACAGACGAACAAACCATTCTTAGCCTACAGCATGTTCCCTGTCTTTTCTGGGCTGTTCAAGGTAAAGTGTGGCTCATAGCTCATGTGGAAAGATGTAGGAACTGATCAGCCTGTCCTTGTCAGCTAGAGACTTTCTGGCCACTACAACTTAGTGGATGTGAGTGAAGAGCCGGAAATGCCCAGAAAGAGCTAAACTCCTTCAGCAGAGAGGAGCTGAGCATTATGCCAAGTGAATGACAGAGCCTTGTAGACCTAGTAAGGATGTGATGCCTAGAGGGTCACAAATACACTCACAGAATTTCAGTGTTCAAAGAGTCCCCAAGAGGAGGACTCCCAACTGCTGAGTAACTGTCTAAGAAGGAACTATGTTTAGTCTGAGATGACTTGTCCTTTTTCTTTTTCTTTCTTTTTTTTTTTTTTGGTTAGGCAATGGGGTTAAGTGACTTGCCCAGAGTCACACAGCTAGTGAGTGTTATGTGTCTGAGGCCAGATTTGAACTTGGGTCCTCCTGAATGCAGGGCTGGCGCTCTATCCACTGTGCCACATAGCTGCCCCTGGGATGACCTGTACTTGATGAAGCCATGTTTTGGACCAGGCTAGGGACAGGTTCCAAGGAGCCTGCTGGGAGATGGGTGACCTCCTGTTTCTAAGGCTCCTGGAAATATTCTTACGTCAGTGACAGCCTCACTTCCTCTTCTCCCTCAGACTCAACCCAACCAGGTTATACTGTGCACAATCTCTTTCACATCAGCCTGGTCGGGCTGGTCCTTGTTGTCATCGGTGTACTTTTGGGCAGTGACTGGAACAGCCTGAGGAGTTGAGAAGAAGCCAGAGGATCTCTGCCTACAGCATCAAGGCTGGATAGACAGGAAGCACATCTTGAGATCTGAGGATTATACAGATGTCAAACTGACCAGCAAGTGTTGTGGGAGAGAGATCAGCCAACTCTGGACAGCTTAAGGGGGACTGGACTCAAACCAACCTAAGGTCCAGAGTTCACTCACTGTAGGAAGCCTTCTGTCCCATTCCACAGGCCGAATAGCACCTGCTTCCTGCCCTCTGCCCTGTCTTCTCTCCATGCTGAATCACCAGGTCCTCTCCTCCCTAGCTTCCCTTCATACTTTTGCCATAAATGGGTATCCATAGACTCTACTAATAAATAAAGTGGAAAGGTAAGATGTATTTCCCAAATAACAAAGGTCCAGAAAGTTATGAAATTACTGGAGTAACAACAGTTCTCAGCTCTGACCCACCTTACATGTTACAAAGCACTTTTTTTACCCACTACTAGGTGATTCAGTGGATAGAGTGCTGTGAGTCACAAAGACCTGAGTTCAAAACCTCCTTCAGACCTTTATTAGCTGTGGGAGCCTGGGTAATTCATGTAACACTTTCTCTTAGCCTTAGTTCCTGTATTTGTAAATAATAACAGCACGAATTTCAAAGGGCTGTTAGGAATGTAAAATGAGATATATTTGAAAGTGCTTTGTAAATTAGATGGACATAGATATATAAACATATACCTATAAGCACGTGCTATGTAAGTAGTGTGTGTGTGTGTGTATATATATATATATATATATACACACACACACACACACACACACATACACATATTTACACGCACTTCATAAATTCTGGCTATTAACACTGTGCAATGATCAACTATGATCGACTTAGCTCTTCCCAGCAATGCAATGATCCAAGTCAATTCCGAAAGACTCATTATAGAAAATGCTATCCACATCCAGAGGAAGAACTATGGACACTGAATGCAGATTGAAGCATACTATTTTCACTTTTTTGTTTGTTTTTCATGGTTTTTCCCTTTTGTTCTGATTGTTCTTTCACAACATGACTAATGTGGAAATATGTTTAACGTGATTACACATGTATAGCCTATATCACATTGATTGCCAGTCTTGGAGGGAAAGGAGGAAGGGAGAAAAATTTGGAACTCAAAATATTATAAAAAATGAATGTTGAAAACTATCTCTACATTTAATTGGAAAAAGTAAAGTGCTATTTACAAAAATTAATAAATAAACTTTTGAGTTAAAAAATAAATGCTGGCTATTAGTAATGTTGTTGTCACAGTTTGTCACAGTAAATCAGTGGATGTAATTATCTCCATCTGGCAGATGAGAAATTTGAAGCTCTGGTCATGAGCTTTCCCTGGTCACTCAGTGACTGGTGAGCCCACGTGTTCTAAGTCCAAGTTTAGGCCTATTTCCCCTACCCCAAAAAAGCCTCTCTGATCCAAGACCCCCCTCCTTTCTGATCCATAAATGTCTGCTACAACCTCATCACTAAAATCTGCTCCACTCCCAAGCTGTTTGTGCCTTCTTTCACCTATGGTTCCAGGAGCATGGGAGCTCACTCTAGCCTGTACCAGCACATTCATCCTTAACATCCCTCTTCCTCCACCTTCCTCTCCATAAGACCTTGTCTCTGGGGCTGGTTCTCTCTACTACTTGAAGTTTTGGTTAAGATTCATTCACCTAATGAATTCATCCATTGCTGGGACTTGAGAGGCTTTACAGAAGAAGTGGATTTGTCAGGATGCTTTTGTTTCAGACATCTTATAACCTTACACAAAGGAACATTTGTGTCCTAAGGGAAGACGTAGATGTCCAGGAAGGATACAGAATCATTGAATGTCTTCAGATCTCCATAGTAGGAGGAAGGTATAGTTCATAGTGATCCTGTTGAGAGCTGCTCCTAGCCTCAATTCTTCAGTTAGGATTCCTGGTTGTTGGAGGGAGGTGTAGAGGCAATGATGTCGATTACAGAGTAGGGACATCTCCATGTATAAATCTCTACTTCATCACTTGTTAGCAAAACCTCTTTAATAATGGGTCTCTTATGTTTATAATCTTTCCACCTTCTTTTATTTCTTGACTCCTAGTGGCTTGCATATCAAGTATATTCTTGACTCCCTTTCCTTGCATTCAAGGCCCTCCAAAGTCTGGGATCTCTCAACCTGTTCAGATTTTATTCCCATCATTCCTGTCTTCACTATAATCCTGTCCACCTGGACAGCTAGACCATCTCTTATGGTCTACTCACACTGGTTTGGGCACATCTGACCTCTCTGCCCATTCAATTTTTCCCTTGCCTTGCCAGAAGAATTGTGGGAGGCACTTTGTCAAATGACTCCCTGGAATCAAGGCAAATGAGATTCCCAGATTCCCTTGAGCAGGCAATAGAAAAAGCCTGCAAAGGAGGGAATAAGATTAGTGGCTAGTAAATAGGCAGGCTCTTAGTGATAGACACTTTCTTTTCTTTCTCTGTCTCTACACCTGCCCTCCTCTTCAATATGTAATCTACTTTAATGTCCATTGAGAAGTTGTTCAGTCATTTTTCAATTATGTCCCATTCTTCATGACCCCATTTGGGATTTTCTTGGCAAGGATATTGAAATGATTTGTCATTTCCTTCTCCAGCTCATTTTACAGATGAAGGAACTGAGGCAAAGAGTTAAGTGACTTGCTCGAGGATGCACAGCTAGTAAGTGTCTGAAGCCAGATTTGAACTCAATAAGATGTCTTCCTACCTCCAGGCCCAGAACTCTATGCACTGCACCACCTAGTTTCCCTGCCATTGAGATGGACAGATCTTAAAATCCACAAAATGAATCCCATCTGAATTTTTAAAAAAAGAAAAAATGAGCATATAAACTAAAACTAACAAATGAAGCCCGTTGGTCAAAGAGCCTGGGTTCAAATCCAGCTCTTGTTACTAGTTACCTGGGGGGTCTCTGAGACTCAGTTTCCTCACCTAGAAAGTGGAGTAGAAATGGGGTAGATTGGCCCTTAGCTCCTTCTAGTTCTAAATCCAATAATCAGGTGACCGTTTGCCTGTAAGTGATGAGGGATCGGGAAGAGTGGAAGATGACTCTGAAGCCAGGAACTTAAGAGAGTAGTGGAAACATGGTGGCCCCCAAAAGAAATAGGGACTTTAGAAAGAGCAAAGGGTTTGGGGGGCAGGAAAGTAGTAACTTTTGCTTTGCACATGGTCAGTTTGACATGCCTATGTGACACTTAGTTGGAGATGGTCAACAGTTAGGGAGTGATGAGGAAACTAGTAATAAATTCCTTTTAAAGATTACTTAAAAAAATAAAAAGTACTTAATAAGTGCTTGTTACCTGCCTCTGTCTTCTTTACAGAATCTTCATCCCACATGAACCTGCTAATCCTGGGTGTCCCTAAGGTGCTCTATGGGCCACTGTTTCACATTGCTCCACTTAGTGACCTCATTAGCTCCCATGAATTCAATTGTCATCTTTATGCTAATGATTCTCAGATCTATTTGTCCAGTCAAAACCTCTCTCCTCACCTCCAATCTCCAATCTCCAACCACCTATTGGACATCTCAAATTGAATGTTCAATTTTAAATTCAAGATGTCCAAAACTGAATTCATAATCTTTCCTCCTAAGCCCTCCACTATTCCTAACTTTGCTATTACTGTTGAGGTACCATCCTCCCAGTGACCCAGGCTCACAACCTACGTGTCAGCCCTAGACCGTTCACCTTTTCTCAATCACCAATATTCAATCAGTTGCCAAATCCTGTTGACTCTCCCTTTATATCCCTCATATACACCCTGTCCTCTCCTCTGCCACTGCTCCCCCAGTGGAAACCTTCATCACTTCACACATAGACTATTGCAATAGCCCTCTAGCTGATCTCTCTGCCACAAGTCTCTCCCTATTCCAGTGGGTCCTAAGTTGTCAAACATTGTCCAGTACTAAGATGTCCAATTGATCTTCCTAAAGCACAGACTGACCATATCATCTCCTTATTCAATAAACTCCAGCAACTCCCTACTGATTCCAGGATCAACTCTAGAATCCTCTGGCTTTTAAAGTCCTTCATAACCTGGCCTCTTCCCATCTTTCCACTCTTCTTACACATTCTTTCCTCCTGGTACTCCACAGTCCAGTGACACTGGTCTCCTTGCTGTTCTTTGAACAAAACACTCCCACCTTCAGACTCTGGGCACCTTCTCTGGCTGTCCTCCATACCTGGAATACTCTGCCTCTTGGCCTCCCCAGATTGTTTCATGTCCCAACTAAAACCCTACTTTTCTGTAGAAGAAGCTTTTCCTCATCTCCCTTAATGCTAGTGCCTTCTATTGGATGATTTTGTCCAATTTATACTGGATATAGTTTGCTCATATATGGTGATTTGCTTGTCTCCTCCATTAGACTGTGAGCAACCTGAGAACAGGAACTGTCTTTTACCTCTTTTTGTATCCTCTGTGTTTACTTATCCCAGTGCATAGAACATAGTAGGTGCCTAATACATGATTATTGATTCAAAAAGAAAACAAAAGGAAAGAACAGAACACATAGTGGAGAAAGAAACTGATCAGCACAGGCAGTGGGAAGGAGAGAAGCTTGTGGAAGCCAAGAGGCAAGTTCTGCTTAGATACTGGAACCATTAGACAAGACCTTTTTCTTCAGCTTGTTACCTCAGCTAAGAAAGAATCTGAGAGGGGCTGCCTCTCCCAAACCAGATTCCCTCTGCCAGTATGGAGACCAGGTCACCACAGTCCTCTGTGGATCACAGGTAGTGGGGAGAGAAAAAGTCAAGAGCACAAATGCTGGCACGTTCTCTGTCTGCCTGTCTGTCTTTCTCTGTCTCTGTCTGTCTGTCTGTCTGTCTGTCTGTCTCTCTCTCTCTCTCTCTCTCTCTCTCTCTCTCTCTCTCTCTCCCCCTCCCCCCTCACTGCCTCTATCAAACTGTGCGCATCTCTTTATCTCCCACCTTCCTCTCCTCAGGATTTCCCTCCAAATACCTGGTGCTATGCATCTGGGGAATTTTATGTCTTCAAAGCAGGGCCATATTTTAAATGGGAGGACAAGGTCAGTAAGAGCCCAGTTTCTGAGAACCCAGATATTCCCTGCCTAGGTTAGGTCTTGAACCATGGGCAGATCTCTTCTGCCTGGTGCCAATCCAACAGATGAAATCAGTTCTGGACAGGATGACTCAGGGTTACTGCCATGTAGTGCTGAAATGACTTCAAATTTGGCACCAGAAGGGAGAAGAACTGTCCTCAGAACAAGCTGGGCCTGAAATGAATGTGCATACCAAGGGTTCAAGTGGGCAAATTCTCAGGTTCTTTTCTGGTGGCATTTGAGGGAAGAGGAATTCTGGCTGGCTCTGTTTCTTTTCTAAACCGAGGTAAATGTGAATTCTGATAAGGAAGTAGCCAAGATGAGTTCATGAAAGAGGTAAGATATCCTAAGGTCCTACTGGCCACCAGAATAAGTAGCTAAAGTCACCTATAACAGCAGCAGCAGCTGGTGAATCTGATGAGGAGACAGCCCAGCAGCCAAACAACTTCCCTGACCCAGCCCAATGGTGCATTGCCTCGATATCTGGGACATTGTGCCCTGCCTGGATTAAGGGGTAACCAGTGTCTCATCCATCAACAATTCTGGGCTCAGAAACAAAGTCAGTGAGGACTCCAAGAAGGTAGAAAGAAATCCCAGAATCAGGAGCCACTGGGTAGCCCTTCATCCCAAAAGTTCCCCAAAACTACACTCAATACTTTGAGCCCACTCCCCCCAGGCACCTTGTATGTTCAGCATGTCCCTGAATTAGAGGATCTTTATGTAACTTCTGTCCTCATTAACACTAACTAATAGCTAATTGATATCAATGGTTGGTTAATTATGGGTAACTGATGGGGGCTCAGGGGCTGCAAT